CCACTGTCAGACATATGTGTGTCAGGCATGGAACCTGGATGCTAAGGCGTGGCATAGAGCACCAACTATAATGGAAATGTATCTCCCACACCCACCCACACTTTCCACCTGGGGGCAGCTCAGGATTCAACCCTTCAATAAAGCCTTTCTTTCCACTCTGGCCCACATTAATCATACTTTCCTTTGGATTTCCCTGGCACTTTTATTTTTACCTCGCTTTAGGCTTATCAGGGATTGCTTTAGAACAGTATTTTACCATTTCCATCTACATTTTCTGAGTTGTTTTGGGACAGAGTCAGAATTGCCTTCGTATAACCTACAACAAGGAGCATCCTACCTTGAATTGATGCATATTAATATCACGAATGCAGGCAATCTAAAGTAAATGCTCAACAACCTTAGTTGGTAGCCTGAGTAAGTAGGAGGATTCTAACCATATTTGGTCACTACCTAGCAGTGAGGAATATGATCTTTTAAGTCACATCCTCCCTGGAGTTGTTTGATCATTTCTAAAAGAGTAGGATTGAACTGTCCTCCTAACTCTCCTTTTCTTTTTAATGTTTGCTTCTATGACTTTAATGTCTTCAGTATCCCTGTCTTGAGGGAGCCATGGAGGCAAGAATATGTGTATCATAATGGAAACAGAAAGATGTTTCTACTGATGTGAATGACATCTCCATCCCTATTCATCTTTATTCTTATCTCCATTTTTGTGCCTTTCATTCTTTGGCAATCAAAACTGTGACACAGCAATCAAAGTTGGCCACTTCCTCTATCTTTTGTCACTAGGACCTCTCTGCTCCCACAGGGAGATGAGGACAAGCAGAAGCCCAGGGGCACAGTGACAATAAGGTCCACTGGGCCCACTATTAGGAGTAGGACAGGAAACCTGCTGTGCAGCTATAGGAGTTGTGGCTGCAATTGGAAGAATGGATAATATGGATGAAAGTGAGAAAGGGGTACTTGTTCCTAAGGACAATCACTGGGGACTGTGATTGCTGGAACAAGACACTTCCAGAAACAGACATCAAGTACTAAAATTAGGGATAAAGCCAGTAACTTTCTATTGAAGGGAAAAACAGTGTTTGGACAATTACGAAAGAACCAAGATCATTTCTGCGTTCAAAATAATCAAACCTGGGGAGAGTGTAGTCAAGGCAGCCTCATGAAGAAGCTTGTAGGCCACGCATGCTATTGAGTTTGGATTTTATACTTCCAGAGATGCAGCTCCTCTAAAGGACCCCCCCCTTTTTATCGAGGTATAATTGACAAAAATTATATATATGTAAGGTATACAACTTGATATTTTGATATTCATGTATGTTGTGAAATGATCCCAATTGAGCTCATTAACATACCCATCATCTTACATAGTTACTATTTTTTTCTTTTTCTTCTCTGCCATGTCTTCACCCATCTCGTGTTAAGCCCACACTATTTGCTCTTTCCTGAACAGAATGTGTCCCATTTGCAAGGTTGGTATCATCCTCTCCACCAAGTAACAGAGTACTTTTTTAAGACAAGTCAACTCAAACTTCATCATACCCTTTAAGCCTTCTCTTATTCCCTAAGCAGTGCTCCCTCCTTTATGTTACCATTGCACTATGTGTGGATCTCAACATGACCCTTACCACACCCCGCTATCACTAGGTGCTTCTTGTGTCTTTCTTCTGTTCCTTGGGGGCAGAGACTTGGTCTTTGTATATCTGGTTTCTAAAAATGCATATTGAGTAAATAAATAAGGCAGTGAATAAGGCAAATAGTATTTATATCTTGAATAGCACTAAAGTTAGGCTATTGCAAGGGATGAGAAAATAAAAAACTTTGTTCATCAGAATGAAACTGGGTAGCTAAGAACCATAGCAGGGTAGACTTAAAGGAGAAAGATGGAGAGACCATGGTCAGCCAGTTAAGAACTGAATTCAGAATCAGTTCAAAAGGTTCATGGGATCAGGCAAAAGGCAATCAGAAAGGTCAGAGCAGTTTTCAAAGAAGTAGCACTGGGTCTGCTGAGAGTCAGAGTTAACCAAGTGGGAGACCACACCGCCAATAACAAGGGTGGTGTCCCCAGTAGGACATCTGGTCAGGCAGTGACAGCCCCAGGGATCACTCAGATGAATTCCTGCTTGTAAGAGGTCACTGTAAATCCTTTATCAAAATAGGAGGATAGGGAGCCCTAGCCGGTTTTGCTCAGTGGATAGAGCATTGGCTTGTGGACTGAAGGGTCCCAGGTTAGATTCTGGTCTAGGACACATGCCCAGGTTGCAGGCTAGATCCCCAGTAGGGGGCATGCAGGAGGCAGCCAATCAATGATTCTCTCTCATCATTAATGTTTCTATCTCTCTCGCCCTCTCCTTTCCTCTCTGAAATCAATAAAAATATATTTTAAAAAAATAGTAAGATCAGGAGACAGCCCTGATTAAGAAACCCAGGCACTAAGAGCAAGTATCAAGAAAGGGAAAAGAAGGAAAAAGAGGGAATCATAGTTTGCAAAGGGAAGAGCTCAATTGGTTCCCAGTATGCACACACCCTGCAGACAGGGATGCTCCCCAGGAAGAGCTAACTCCCTAACTGATAAGTTTTAACTTTCCCACATCTCACTGCTACTTGAAAAGTCAGGTCTAGCCTGTATACTTAGCTCTCTGGATAAGAGCCCAGTGGTCATTGAATCGGGTTGGTAACTTAAAAAAAACCCAAAAGTGCTGATAAGTCAGAGCTGTCAGAACAAGAAGAGGTCAAGTCTATGAGACCTGAGAGAGGAAACAAAGGACAGAGCTGTAATCCAGGAGAGCACAGAAGCCAGAGTGGAGCAGGAAGAATAGCCAGGCTGGTGGGAGGCAGTCCAGTGCCTCTGACCACATGGCCACTCCCAGGAGGCAGCATGGAACAGCAGCGATCAGCACCTTCCACCCAAGGATCAGGAGCTCACTAACTTTGCTCACCCATACCCTGGTCTAAGTGCGCTCTCCCAGCCTAGAAATAAAGACAGCTTTAGCTTAACGTTTTTAAAAAAATTTTATTTAACTATAGTTTGTATACAGTATTATATTAGTTTCAGGTATACAATATAGTGATTCAACGTTTTTCTACCTTACAATGTGATCACCTCTCTAATTCTAATAATCATCAGTCATTGTGCAAACTTATCACAATATTATTGACTATATTCACCTTTACCTTTTTCACTCACTCCCTAACCCCCACCAGCCCCTCCTCTCTGGCAACCATTCCTTTGGTCTCTGTTGCTATGAGTCTGGGTTTTTATGTTTTGTTTTATGTTTTTATGTTTTTTTTAGATTCCACATATAAGTGAAACCATATAGTATTTGTCTTTCTCTGTTTGACATATTTCATTTAGCATAATCCTGGCCAGGTCCATCCGTGCTATCTCAAGTGGCAAGATTTCATTCATTTTAAGGCTGTAGTAATATTCCAATGTGTGTGTGTGTGTGTGTGTGTGTGTGTGTGTGTGTGTGTGTGTGATCTTTATCAATTCATCTACCAATGGACACCTATGTTGCTCCCATATCTTGGCTATTGTAAATAATGCTTCAATTGAACTTTTTGATCTACCGCACTTGCCACTTTTATCCTCTTGCTGAGCTTATAACATGGGCTAGGCCTGTCCTTACATACCTGAACCATCCCGGTTTCCTCCCATTGCTTCCCACACCTACATGGCAGCGTGGGGTGGGCTGAAGGCTGCTGAACTGTTTAGGGCTTACCCCTCAGAGTAGTGTGGCTGAAGCAGCACATTCTTTGAACATAGAGATGTTTCAGGACTTTATTGGAGAAGATGTTGTTCTACTTTAATTACATTCTATCCTAAAGTCCCCTTCAAAAATGTAGTAGTCATGGTCAGCGGTTCAAAGCAGCCAGTGGTCTAACCCACTAGCTGTTTGGGCTCATAGATGGTGATATTCCCAGGAACAGAATAACCAGAGAGTCCATGAAGATTCCACTCGACTTATATCAGATGGAACCTCTGGGTGGGGTTGGGGGGTAGTCTGACTAAAATACCAAGAGTCTTGGTCCCTTGGGGGCGTGTGCGTGCGCACCACAGAAAATTCTGACATTCTTTGAAGTCTATGGAGTTGCATTAAAAATAGACCCACTCAGGCTTGGACTCAGACCAACAGAGCACAAGCTTTCCCTGATAGAATTAGGAAAAAATACAGCCGTGAAAAAAACACAGGCAGGCCTGAGAAATGGCTTAGATACTTTAGTACAAACACACACAAACACAGAGGTCCTGGGAAGAGGACAGAAGGAAAACACATCCTGAGATGTATCATCATCCTAAGTGAACTCAGATAACACCTAGGAAAGGCTTGGGCATGCGGTTTTAGAGATGCTCATTCCTAGGCCCTGAGCGATGGCCTCTTGGGAGAGGGAGAGGGAAAGGGAGAGAGAGAGGGAGAGAGAGAGAGAGAGTGAGAGAGAGAGAGAGAGAGGGAGGGAGAAGGTGAGGGAAAGGGTGAGGGAGAGGGAGAGAACCCAGGATACACCCTTCGTCTTATAGGGAGTCACAGGGAGACAGTAAGGAGAGAATTAACATTGGGCCTGAATGTTAACTCAGAAATGTTAACACAAAAACTCACACGTTCAGAGACAGATAGGCTAACAAAAGGCATGGTCCAGAGTCAGGCTCAAGTGAAGAAATACAGGGGGAAGCGCTATCCAAGCAGATTTCAGAGACATACAAGGGCACAAGAGAGCCCCCCCTCCCCCCGCCTCCGGTCACTCGTGCCGGCCGCTGTCCCGGACCCAGCAGCCAGCCCTCTGCGCCGGGCTCCCCTCCAGGTCGCCACTTCCCAGCTGTGACGCGGGAGATTCTTTCACACCAATGGGGCCGCGGTGCAGCCGGGCCCTGCCCCTCCCCCAAGAAGGTGTGTCCCTGGTTTCCTCACCTGAAACTTCCTAGGAGAACCAGGTCCCTCCCTCCGGCCGAGCGGGAGGGGGGGGGCGCGGGCG